AGGTTCCTTGTTGTTTGGCTGTAGGGATGATCAGCACATTGTAGGCTCTGAATACAACCTGATTTAATATTTAGTTTTCATGTCTCTTCCCTTATCATTCCCACTTCAGAGATAGTATTCTCTTATTCTTAAGGGGATGTCGAGGGATGAACATCTGTGTTCTGTAACTTCTTCAAAGCTGAGATAGAGCTGTAGTCCCTGCCTGTTGGGAATGAAAATCTCTAAAAGTCCGTTCTTAAGGGCCTTAGAGGCATAGAATGTAGGAGTTGTTTCAGTAATTGGAAGTAATTCAGTAGTTGGAAGCCTTGCATAGCCATCATCTTTATGTGGAATTGTAGAAGTCTGGAAGATACAAGATTAAAGAGATAGAGACTGAAAAGTAATAAAAGTAAGATAGTTACCAGAGGTCCTAGGAGGGGAAGGAGCCAAGTGATATTTGATAGGTACCCTTTAATGGAGTCCTATATAGTGGGGTCATTTTATAGCAAAGGAATTTCTGGTATTAACGCGGGGTGGGAGGTGATCGTGAGAGCCGTCCAGACAAGGTGGCTGACAGAGAAAGCCAAGAAAGCTTCATGGTATAAGGCTGGAGCAGGAGTGATAGCCCTTTCTTTCTCTAAAAGCCAAAAGGACAAAGGGTTTCCTACCCTGGGGGAGGAGGCTATGTGAAATGGCAGAAGCTGCGTTGGATGAAGGTGGTTGCAAAAGTAAAGAGCAGGCCTACCCACTGCGTTACTTACACTCGCAATAAGTAAGTCATCATTTTTAAGTTTAAGGTCTCTGAGAAGATGAGGGCTGTCACAAAACCCCTGGGGCAACACAGTCCAGGTGCATTGTGGCCTCTTGGGTCTCAGGATCTGTCACTTAAAAGCAGAAAGATAGGTGGAATCAGGGTGTGACAGTCTACAGGAAAAGGCATCCTTTAAATCTGAAACAGTATAAAATACTGAGTGCTCCCCAGAATCTGAGCGAGGAGGGTATATGGGTTGGGAACCATGGGATAAATGGGAACAACTACTGCTAACTGCTCTGAGATCTTGGACAAATTGTTGTTCCCAGTTTGACTTCTTCCCAGGCAAGATTACAGGGGGACTGACAGGGTTTAATCAATCGCTGCTTTAGGAACTTTTTAAAGATGGGGTTGAACTCTTCGAAAGGCCTCTGATTTTAAGGGATGCTGGTACTTGTAGGGTTATGGCCTAAGTTTTATTTTAATTGGCTTGGTATTAATTGGCTGCCCTGGAGAAGTAACGGCCTACACTGACTGCCACCTGGTGCTAATTTTCTTAGGAAGGATGCTGGAGAGCTAGATGGGGTGGGAGTCCAAAGGGGGACACTAACCTAGAACTCTGGTGACCAGATTCTTGTCTTATGCCCTGAGAAAGAATTCAAGAACTGGACAAACAGCCAGCAGGAAAGCACAAGTTTTATTAAAGCAAAACTACACATTGAAGAGAAAAGTGATGGCAAACACAGAGAAAGAGTTTGAGAAAGAGTTTACCCCGAGCTGTCTGAATTGCGGGCTTTTGTTTTCTTGGGGATGGTAGGGAGTGCCTGGAGACATGGTACTTGCAATGCAGGTGATATTTTAATGGTATTATGACTAGCCAAACTGAACCAAGGTCAACGGAAAGACCTGTAGCCTTATCCTGGAGACGGGTGTCCCAAGGTTATCCATCCCACCTCCCGTCTTCGTTTGTTTCTTATGCCACCTGGAGGGTAGGAGGTGACCTAAGGCCATCTACTCCAACAGAGTAGACAGCTCTAGCATCTAGTGAAAATTCAGTTTTCCTACCTGCCATGCCAAGGGTGACCTGAGTGAGACTCCACTGTTGTAGTAGATGGCAGTGGATCTCTCTAGGACAAGAGCCAGTGAATGCTTGGGTCTTCTCAGTTGTAGGAGGTGGCTCTCTTATTTGAGAAGCTAGCCATGAGGGGAGAGGGCTTAGGAGGTTCACCCCTTTCCAGGGCTGAATGGACACACCTTTCCAGTGCCCTTCCTTTCTGCAGCATGTGTGTTGGTTGTGCCCCAGTCCTGTCGACGTCGACCAAGATTGAGGCCTTCCTGGCCTGAAAGGCTTTTATTGCCTAAGATCACCTCGAGATGGTCCCTGCATTATGTCAGCTAAACTTTGCACCTTTTCTCCTTTCTTTTCCTCCTCTGCCTAGTCCTGGTTACTGAACACCTTAAAGACCTCTGACACCAAGGCAGCTTGTGGGATTTGGCTTCCAGCTTCCAAATTTGGAGCTTCCTTTGAATATTTGCCACAGCCTGAGTTATGGAATGCATAGCCAGGAGTGTCTGGCCCTCATCAGACTTGGGGTCTGTTAGTATATTTTCTAAAAGCCTTAGAGAGCTGGTTAAGATATATGGTTGGATTCTCGTCCTTTTTCTGAGTAATTTCTTTTACCTTAATATAAGTCGCTGGCTTAGTTTGGCATCTTTTTTTTATTTCTTCCAATATGCACTTAAGAAAGTGACCCATCTTTAGCTGATCTCTCCTATCTTCACAGTTCCACTGGGGATTGTGCTCTGGGACTGCCTCATTAGCTGCTTGATAGGTAGCAAATTCCCTGGCCTTCCCTAGGATCTGAGCCTTTTCAGCATGGATGCAATCATGAGTCAGAATTACTATCACATCCTGCCAGGTTGGAGAAAAGGTCAGGCCAAGCTTAATGAATTCATCCCTAAACTTATCTGGGTTATTGGTAGAAACGGCCAAATCATTCTTTACACTGGCTTATACTGACATTGAGAAGGGCACATGAACCCTAGCAGGCCTGAAATATAGATGTTCACATAATTATTAGCAAAACTTAGTTTTTACTATTGTGGAGATTTAGATTTTTTTTTTTTTTTAAGTAACCAACGACCTGGTTAAGACAACATAAAACACAGAAAATTATTTTGATGAAGCACAAAATCCTTGCTTTCTACTCAGAAAACTTTTCCATGATGTCAGTAGCAGACCAACAGTCCAAGAAACACTTATTTAACAGAGAGTGAAAACCCAAGTCTAATTTTGCATTAGCTTACTTTTGATATTTAAATATATTTACTTAATTATGTTTATTCCAATCATGTTTAGCTTAACCATATATAAAATTTCCTCTCAAGATTTATCTTTATAAACCTTCCACAACTATCTTCATCCCTTTTAGTTTGCCTCTTCTTAGCTCATTTAGAAATAACCAACTTTAGAACAAACTACTTTTCTTTAATTTTCTTCGAAATATATCTCCATACCTTATACCTGCGATTACCAAAATATAAATTTTCTTTTCCATCATAATTAGAATTCTTAACTCTTAGAAACCTCAATTTCTAGTGGGAGCTAAAAAGTAAGCAATTAGCATTCTTTGGATTGGCAAATTTATAAATATACTTTGTAACCTCTAGACATATAGGTTTATTTTGGCAATATATTTACAGTTTTTTAGAAACATATTTTTAAATAAGGTATAAGACATTACTTATTTAACGTATATAAGCATTTAATTTTTTTCAAGCCTATTAAATATTTTAAACTGCTAATACCATCTGCAGGCAAAAACACCATATTATACATAAAACACAGACAAACATAGATATCAGAGATCATGCACATAAACAGAATTACCAATAATTGTAGAG